TTTAATAGTTGTCCAGATATAATATGTATTATAATTATTCTTTTTAATGCAATACCAAGTATATTTTTTCAAAAGATCAATATGATTAATATCACACAAAAATGTAATATCAATAAATTGTGTTTTAACTTCTAAATATAGTTTATAGTTAATTTTCACAAAATGATATTCATTTAATTTAAGATTTTTGATTGATGAATCAGAATATTTCTTCCAATGAGTAATAACTTCATATTTTTCTTTAAAATAATGTTTCCAATATTTACTTGGTTCCATTTTGATTTTTTTTTAGTATTATTAGAATAACCAGATATTTTAATATTTTTTATTAATTAATAATAGTTAAAATAGTTTAATAATATAAACATTAAATTAATATTAAATCTAATAATAATTATTCTTCTTCTTTATTATAATTTTTTAACAATTTATTAATAAGATTTATTTCTTTAACTTCCAAAAAATCATTCTTTTTCTACCATTGTTTATAGAAATTATCTTTTTTCTTTTCCATCATTTCAAACATATATATTATTTTAAATTCATGTTCATTTTCAGTATCTTTATTGGTAAGATCCCAAGCAGCATTAACAATTTTATTTGAAAGAACTTTAACAGGATCATCAATTTCTGTAGACATTTTTTTTCTTTATTATTTGTTGAAAATACTATTTTTTTTATTGATTTAAATAAAACAATATTAATAAAATAAATTAATAATTTTACAAATAAAATTAATAAGTACTAATTATCACATTGAAATTAGTAAATATATTAAACAATATATTTTCAATACTTATTATTTGTAAACTTTATTACTAAATTATTTTATCTACAATTTAATAATTTCTTATTATTTTATTTTTTTTATTCATTCGTTTATTTCAATTTTCAAAGTTCAATTTCTCCATTTCTCCATTTCCAATTAGCCCACATTTTGTTTCTTTCTGTGAAAGAAAGCCAGCGGCAGCAATTTCAAGGGGATTGCACTCTCACAGCGAAGCTGGGAGCTGCCAAGAGCCTATCCGGCTCTGGAGGATGAAAGAGAATATAACAAAAACGTCGAAGCATAGCGAAGATGGCGTTTGTTATATTCCTCAAACAAGTATAAAATACGTGTTTGAGTTTAAATAAAATTAATAATAAATTAAATTATTAGTAATAGAAAAAAAATATAAAAATACAATATTTTTTTTTCAAATTCATTATTAAAATCAAAATGTCATATTATTGTAAAAATTGCCAATTGTATACTGACCATGAAACAGTTTTTTGTTTACAAACTCTATGTAAAATATGTCAAGATTATGGACATATAAATATTTTTTGTCCAACAAAACCTTGTCGTGTTTGTAATGATGAGACACATACATTATTAACATGCAAATATAAAAATATATATTCAAAAAATTTCATTTATTCAAAATCTAATAAACAAGGTTTATTAGGATGTGGATGTTTAAAAGAAGCAATATTAAAGAAAAGAGAAGAAATTATAGAATACTGACCTTCAATATCAAAGAAAAGAATATATCATTGTTGTAAATGTATTGATATAATTTATATTAATGATGTAGTAGAAAAGGAAAATAACAAATTTTTATGTAAAAGATGTAATAAAGATTTTCTTGAAAATTTACCTGATAATGACCCAAGAAAAAAAGAATATTTACAATCATCAGAATACCAAAGATATATAGTTAAATGTATTCTTTGTAGAAAGGATCATCAACATCACCTTTTTTTAGAAGGAGCAGGGAATTTTTGTTGCAAAGAACATCAAATTGCATATTTAGTATCTAAAGATATTGAAAATAAAAATAAATTTTTATGGACTCAAATAATTCATAGAACAGATTTAACTAAAACTAGAATGTCAGCATATGCTATAAATCAAACAGCAATTTTAAGAATTGTTTTAGTATATAGAAAAAAAATATTCATCACATATGAGGAATCTTTAGAAGAACAAACTGGAGATATTTGGAATACTCAAAGAACAACAGATGATAATGATGATTGGTATAATGATGATTATAGATTTACAAGAGTTATGAATAATTTAAAAATTTCA